ATATATATATATATATATATATCTATAACTGAGCAATGACCAGAAAATTACTGCTACACATAAAAAGACTAACGGATGGTCAAATACATGTGGTACAAAATCATTTCATCATCTGGCCAATTAACAATTTTTCAATTGAATAATTGCAGCTAATTCGTCCTGATTTGACCTCTTCTCTGGCTTACTTTAGGATAAGCAAGGAAATCAGCATTATTGGAGTCACCCATCACTTGACAGCTAATTATGAAATTATCGCCAGTCTTCGTCTTCTTCACTCTACTGTGTACTTCTTCACTCAAATCATGCTCATTTCTAGCTTGCCCACGTTAGACTCTTCTAATGCTGTATACTACGCAATCTACTAATCTTTCCATCTATTGCATTATTGACCGTTTTCTATCCATCAGTACTTCTCCTTCTTCACTGTACAATTCATATTCCCTCAAATGATTCACTTAAATGCAAATTTCAATCAATTTAGACATGACAAATACTGCCCACATTTCGGAATTGATCCATACATTAGCCTAAGCAACCCCAATTTTTTCATGCATACGAAACAATATTAAAAAGACACATCTTTTCAACTGCCCACAATTTATTGCTGCATTATTTCAGTTTTCTTTCAACAATGAAAACTGTTTGCATTGATTAGTAAATATGCAATGAAATGAAACACAAGAGGTAACTGATATGGCGGTCGTATTATACTTTACTTTATCGTCCATTATTGATTGTAATACTAAATTACATTAAAGCACTGCATAAACAAATATTTGATTACTGCTCACATCCACACAGATCAGAAACTTTCAAGTTGACTTCATTAAGTACGCTGTAATAGTATGAAAGAAGAAATCGCTCAGATTACAAACATTGTGATACGCTAATATATTAGAAGAAACAACTGCTCAAGCCATTCATCAATACAGTAAATTTAAAAAGAATGCCGTGAATGAATGGATAGATGGTGCTAAATACACGTATTCGTCAAACCTTCAACGATTCTCTCTGTATTTTTTTCACTATCTGCAAACACCTTGAAATTTCCAAAACTACCTTGCTGACTCTTCTTTCTACTTGTCTCAAGAAATGTATAAATAACATCAGAAATTAATATAACATGTGTTAAGTTGACGGTTAAAGAGAATTTTCAAGTAATCACGCTGAGCGTAACATGCTCAGTTCCTTGAATTTCACTTTTTCCTTCAGATTTCCTATGAAGCACTATAAATTTGAGATATTGGAAAACCAAGACTTATGCTGTGTCTTGGTCGTTGCTTTCCAATGGCAGTTCACTCACTAATGTATTAATGTAAATTTTCAAATGCAGTGCACACTACGGCACGAAGGAGTAACGATCCAAAAGACTGACTTAATATCGAATAAAAATAGAAGGAATTTTCAGAATTACATCAATGTAATGGTTAATCAATGTAATGATTAGTAATTTCAGAACAAACTTAGCAACCATATTTTATCAACCAACAGTGTAACACATTTTTATCCCTTATCACTTAAGCACAACTAATAACCCTTATCAATTTAGTTCAAGTAAGAGAAAAACAGTGAATTATTCACTTTTTTGTTGTTCATACAGTTTTGAAAAATACTATCAACAAAAGTCAAAGGTCACGACAGGTTGCTGTCATAATACTGATTGATACGTATTGACATTATCAGCAAGAATTATCATTATGCTGCTCATTTTCCATTCCCTGAATTTCTGTGATTTATACTCATGTTGATCTTGGCAAATATCTAAATGGCCCCAAGGCTGGCCGGTTTTTTCCTACTGTCATTAAAAATTAGTAAAATACCCATCAATCGGTTTACGCGATATACATGCATTTATGTCACATTTTTATCAAATATTCTCAGTTCCTAAACAACTTTTCAACATCTAACGACTAAATTAGATGAAAATCTACCAAATACTTTTGGCTGTTGCCATCAAGTCAACATTACAAGTGTTAGCTTACGACGTATACATTTTTTTGAGACAATTATTCAACCGAAAAAACCCCATGAAGTAGAACATTCCAAACTCAAATGATATGAAATGTTCCGACTAACTATTTCACTTTCTTTTCCGCATGTAAAAATAAATAATTTTAAAACGATACTACATGAAGGAATCAAGTTTAAATTAACTAGTCAGATTTTTTTATAGCACTAGTAATTACAGTTTATCGTCTGTTGCACCGAATTTCTTATCTTCCTACTTTAATGTAAGAAGAAATAAAAAAAGAAAATTATCTTAGATAATGAAGTAGCTCTAAAATTTACAAGAAAAAACCTTGAAGATAGAAGGACCTGCAAAACATCATCACATATATATATATAGAGAGAGAAAAAGAATTTATCCAAGTGCAAAAGCTTCATTTCAGCTTCTCCGACGACACGAGGCACATGTATACGTAAGCAGCGCACCAACCAACCTTTTTTCATACAAGTTTTAAACTATTAATTTTTTTAAACTTAATAATCCATGAACAATTTATTAAATACACAATCTACTGACAATGATAATCTACTGAGATACTTATTTTCTTGGCATTTAAAGATTTAGCGAGATAGAAAAGATACAGTCGTTTGGAAAAATGCTCTGAAAATGGAGCACGAGCACGATATTAGGAAGCAAACTCCCTCAAACCCAAGCATGCATTTTAAGCTCAGAAATGAATTATTTAACAGGTGGACAGGGCGGAGTTCAGGGTGCACTGCATACATACATAGATAGATACATAGACATGCTCACGGACACTTTACATGTGCTGAATAGACATGAACCAGCATTTACTACTCCGTGTACATGAGACGACGACACATGGGTATCACAACGCCTCCTTCAATACTCACATCACATCGATATCGGAAGCAAACAAGCAACGAAGGCCTTCCTTCTCGTTTACTGACTGATGACAGTTTAGGTTTAGGCCTGACGTAACTGACTATATTTCTTTACACACATTCTTCTTTATCTTGTTCCTTTATATTCAACCGATCTATCTATCTATCTATTTACCCATATTTGTCTAAACTTCTAAATTACATTTTTGTTTCCAACTATACTAATTAAATCACTTATTTATTGAAGTTACTTCGACGAAATGACGGAATAGTTAGCTCTGTTGTTGGTAAGGTGAGATTCAATTCAGACAAAGTATAAAAGTTTGTTCACTTTTACTGAAGGAAATCCCTGCCTGCTTCCTCACAATGAAGTGATAATGGAATATAAATAATCTCTTTCAACAGCCTTTCCCATTCAATTTTTGTTCTTTTTTTCACAAAAATTTCGACCCAAAAATTGTAACAAAACAAAAAGAAGGGTGAGAATTAATGAAGTAGAGTGAAAAGAAGAATCTTAAAGCCTCTGTGATGACGATGATCAGATCATCCGTCAGTAAAATCGCTGGTGAAAGCTGCTTATACTACTACTAAGCAGCATTTAACAGCAGTTACTCTTAACACTCCACATTATCACTATTATCAGTACCACTAACATTACTTTATTATTTGTCAAGTTGAAATTTAAAAATAATTTATGAATAGTTTCCGAATTTCATTAATTGTGTTTTTAAGTTATGCGATGATTTTTGGTTTCAACGATATTCTGTGCAGTAAATATCAGCAAAGTAATAAACGAACTGCTGAAAAGGATGCTGGGTCAAAACGCTGCCGTTACTACCTACCAAATTTCGCATTACTTCAATGAAAGGGTAGCTGCACGAAAGAGTCATGTACATAAGGCAATCCACATGATTGCCAAAATAGTACAAGAAGTCTTGAAAGAAGTTGAAGCACAGGAGCCACGATTCATCTCAACCCTTATCGAGAATAATGGTCGATATGAAGGGGTATGCATGTAAATCCATTTCTTCATCATCAATCAACTTAACTTTTCTTTCAGATTAACTTAACAACTTGATCTTCCAAAGGACGACATACATACTTCCCATTTCAATTCCACTGCAAAAAGATTAATACGATAATTTAAGTCAAGTCGAATTATGCTTATCATATATCACTAATATCTCTTTCTGTCTTCGCAACTTACTAATATTTTACCAACTACACATAAATTTATCTGTCAACTGGCAACAATGCAAAATAATATAAAAGCTTGCCCTGTACTCGTACTTTCTATACAATTTGCAAAAATCAAGAAGAAATAAGAATGCAAAAATTTAT